GAATTTTTTTTTATAAATTGCATAATTACATTAGTAAGTACCTTACACGTACGTAGTTACGCGCGAAAGCAAAAAAGATTCACATATTGTGTCGGAATTCGAAATTAGGCCCTTAGGAATGCCGTTTCAGATATGCCTTTTTTATATTCTAGGTATAAAAGCAGCTTTTGTAAAATATAAGATGTTGTGCTGCTGCAGGGCTCAAATATCAACACATTCGACAGCAGCGTTTTTGCTGATGCAGTACACTAGTTTCATAATAATGGACCACAACGTTCCAAACTTGGAAGATAAATAAATAATAATGTTGCTGAATTTCATAAAATTTTAATTTTCATTACAATAAGATCATTATGTCATTAATAACACGACTCAGTTAATTGAAAAGGGCTGTAATGTAGATTGGTGGACGTATGTAATATACACTCTTCAAAACTTCAATCACTTTTCTGGATTCGCCCCAACAGTACGCTGTAGCCACTGTAGCGATGTTAGCTCCTTGAGCGAGCAACTTTGCCACGCGGTTCAATACCAAGGACGCCTTACAAACGCCTCTCTGAAATTGCATTGGCGAACAAAAGTTTAAATTAACATTTATTCTTCTTCTGCTACCAGACGCCCCGAGAATTGTGGAAATAAAGCTCTACAACGTTTGAATGAGATTGTGGATGATCGCGCAATCAGCCAAACGCTTAATTTACTACAAATAAGACGTATATATACATTCTGGTTATGAATGAAGATTAGATGGAAACAATGTTGAAAACGTGTAAAATTTTATTTTACCTCAGATAAAGTGTACCGATTATTTAGCGTAAAACGGACCGTTATTCTCACATTACTGAAAGCATTATAAGCGTTTGGTATGAGGTTTAATCTCCGTACTTTCTTATTGCTCATCATCATTAATGACCACCAAGAATTCGACAATTCATTCTAGCTGTTAAATTCGTAATATTAAAAAATCTTTAAAAAGGATTTTTCCCCTTTTTTCGAAAAATCGACTACACGTTCTTTAACTGTCACTGATAAACATGTTCTCTAGAAATGTATTACTTTTTGTACAACCCAAATAACATTACAGGAATACCAAGAATACCTTGACAAGAATTGATTTAGTGGTCACATGCAAAGGTGTTAGGATTGTAATTCTACTTAATGTAATGCTTGAAAATAAGTTAATCGTATTTATTACTTATCTAGTAGATAAAACCACTAGCCATTCATTAGTTCTAGTACGAAGTAAATCAGAAGCATTGCATGATAGCCAGTAGGAGTACAATGGTCTTTTGAAAAATCCCAGCATTCTTGAATAATACTGTCCTTCCTATCGCCCAATACTAGAATTGATATCTCACACCATCCAAGTCTTTGCAGTTGCGTGAAATGAACTTGTCTTACCAATTATCGATAGGGCTGCGGAACGCGCTGAACTGGGGCCTATCCCCTAGCGGACGGAAGCGAGTTTAAGCTGGCGGAACGGCGGCGTGTGGCTGTAGGGCTCTCCATCGGCCGTTGCTAATCTCCGTACGATTGTGCGGCTCGGCAACGATCCGCCTGGCGGAACAGACGCTACGATCTCGGCCACTGAGATCACCGCAGGGTTCCCTCCGCTGCGCCTCGCAGCTCGTGGCTATCAACTTGCGGCTGAGAGCGGGACTTACGGGCAGTCGCCTGGAGAGCTAATAGTTCGGACGCGAAAAATCCGGATTGGATTCGGAGGGGGATCGGATGAAGTGAATGCACAGTCTTATTAATTTAAAATCGTCCAAACGACTTAATACTTTTATAAAAACTATCGATTTCAGAAAATTATGTTGACAATTCTGTCATTAAAACGTAAACATTTTATTAGGTTACTTCAGAAGAATAATTGTATTCAGCAGCTTCATTTCTGTAACTGTTAGAGTCAGAGGTGCACTCTGAATTTTTCTTTGGAGACGAGAGGGTACAGGTGTAGTGTCAATATCGCCTCTGTAGAAGCAGTGTTCAGCCGACTTGGTGGTTCTTTTAAAGAATTTTTTCCTTGTGCTGATTATAAAACGTATTTCAGTTGCTGGCGATTACTACATATGTAAACGCAGTTCCCGCTTTACAGACATAATTGCCTATTTTACGGTCCGCGCTCTGAAAGGGAAGATGGGTTGCTTTTTTTAAATAATTTTATTAAATAATTCCCGCTCGTTATTTGATTGTGTATTAGTTTATATCGTTTAATAAAAAAATAAACGTAAGTAAACTTTCAAATTAATAAGTATTAGTCTCAACATCTTAGTTTTTTGGAGGTATGAAATCGTCTCAGTATAAACTTCTCATTCTGACACTTTATTTTGTTCATAACTAACATTTTGAGTTGTTATGTGTCCAAATTTCACGAATCTTCATAGAAGAAATGTATAAAATGGGACCTTTAAAGAAACATGAACTTAATGTAAAGTAATGATTGTATTCAAAAAAAGGGGAAGTGCATCGAACATGCCTACAAGTACATACATTAGTTTTGCCTAGCAATTTTCAATATATGAAAAGCGTTTGGAAGACTTTCATCTGAGCGAAAAATGGCGTAGGACGGCCAACCTCTGAACTTTGCGAGGAAATAAAAAAAACACAGACATTCTCGTGACATTAAACTTCGTTTAGTCTCACCATCAATTGTGACCACTGTTCCATTGCATTGCATTCACTTGACGTCATTTATTCAGTGGTGTGGTAGAGGCCGTTGAAAACACGCTGCGAGTGCATTAAAGATGAGGACGCGCTTGCATTAAATACGACGCATCGCTCTCCGACGATTGATCTCCTCGACACATTGCGCAGCACTCGGGCGGCGCACAGCCGCACCCGGCGAGCGCCAGAGCAGCCGAAGCGCGTAAACAGGCGCTGGATCAGGGG